ATTGTTATTAGGTTAGGTATTTAAATTTTCCTTCCTCTTTGTCTTTATATTTAGGTTTCTTTACTTTTATTTTAATTTCTGTATTTATCCCTTTCTTCTTCTCCATACTCAAAATTATCTTCATCCTTGTTTGAGGCTAATCTATTCATGTACATACATACATACATCTTATTCCTAAACTGCTGCTTAGCACGTTTCTTTAACTCACTATCAATATTAAAGCATACATTTAGGAGGCATTTCCGCCCCAACCATGTACATGTATGGCATTGGTATTGGTGTGACTTTTGAATTGATTTTTTCGCTCTATTTTAAACTAATTTGAAATTTTAAAAATTGCCTGCACATCAGCATCAAAATACCTTTCTAATGATATATAATTGTTTATACCTTAGAAGTACAGTTTAGCCGTAAAAGGGGTGTAAAAGAAACATGATTGCCTATTTATATAATTGATACCTTTTTATAGTTTTCACAAAAATCGAATTAATGTGGAAAAAAAGTATACAGGGTTTTTGTGTATAAACTTCTTTTTGCGTAGGCGGCCTTCGGCCGCACTTATGGATTATAACCCTCACAAAGTAGAATTCTCTTTCTGTGTTGCGAAGAAAAGGCGCTGAACACCTTTTGCAGAGAACACCTTTCTGCGTAGGCGGCCTTCGGCCGCACTTATGGATTATAACCCTCACAAAGTAGAATTCTTTTCTGTGTTGCGAAGAAAAGGCACTGAACACCTTTTGCAGAGAACGCCTTTCTGCGTAGGCGGCCTTCGGCCGCACTTATGGATTATAACCCTCACAAAGTAGAATTCCACATTAATTATATTTTTGTGAATACTATAAAAGATATATGTATGTATTAATATGTATATCAAATTAAAGAGAATTAAATTCTCTATCAAATGACATCAAATTTTCCAAATCCTTGGAGGGGTTCTCGAGATATATTAATTAAAAAACATGCTTAATTTGAACTTTGACTTTTAATAATTGTTGTAGTTGTTGTTTCCCAAAAAAAATATATATATCGTTACGTTCACCTCAATGATCTCCATCGATCCCAATATGATTTTGTTTAATTAGAGAATTGTAGGTATTCTACATTTATGCCACAATATTTTTCCTTAAATTTATTAAAGTACATTTTAATTTATTTTGATTCAATTTCAGGAGATAGTTTTCACTGATATCGGAACATCACTATATCTACCGAAGAAATCTATTTGTCGGACAGTCGACTTTTAAAAGCATTAAAATTGTACCATTTTTTATATCGAAATATTTTCGACATCCCTATTTTCAAATTGTTCTGTCTTACCAATATATAATCACACATTCTACAAAACTATTTTTTACCGACTAAGACTTGAATTATCAATACGGCAGTGGTGAAAAGTTCAGATGGATTTATCAAATATATGCCGTGCCTGTTTGTCGCCGGAAGATCGGGTGCATCTGCTAGATTGGTATCAGCCTGTTGACTCTTTGGATATATCATACAAAGAGTGTTTTTGTAAATGTACACAAATTAATTTAAGTTTGAAAGATGATCCAAATGAACTCGATGATGCCCGGATGCAATATCTATGCCTTGATTGTGCCCAAAAACTTAAAGACGTTTATGATTTTATTGAAAAGGCGAGAAGGGCTGATAATGAATTACGTTGCACACAAACGGAAAAAGTGAAGATAGAAAGTATAGCCAACACTTTTGAATGGGTTCCAGTACATGAAGAGCTAATGGAAGTAACTAAGATGCCAGATACTGTAGATATGGTATATCAAATACGATTTAGATATAATTAAACAATAATTATTTTCTATTTGTTTACAAGGATCACGTAGAGGATATAAAGGTATCACCAGAATGGAATGAACATTTTATGGATGATGATGAAACATCTCCATCAAATGATATCGAACACGAAATAAATATTGATAAAAAACTTAGTACTGACACTACAACAACAACAAAGTTTCTAGTTGAATCGGATAAGGATATGCAGAGCGGCAATAACTTAAATGAAGCTGGGCTGGTCTTATCGAAAAAAAGTAAACAACTCAATCTTGCTCATACAAGACCTAAAAACGTAAAGAAAACAAACAAAGTAAAATCCGAGGTGAAAACAAAAAAGAAAGTCAAGGACATGTCTGAGCCGGTGAAGTGTGAAGNTGTCAGGAATAAACAGAAAAAGAAGAAACAGAAAATATGTTTTTTTGTGGGTTTGCGAAGTTTATTTGACGTTGGACATTACAATATTTTGTGGGACGCCACTTACTACAGGTAGGTAGGTACAGAAATTCTGCTGCCAATGCTTACTGCCTGAGTTCTTTCGCCAAGGTATGATCTAATGAGAGCGGTTGCATGACTAGAGAAGCAAAATAAGTTCTCCAGCTTCTTACATAGCAAGACATGGTCCAAAGAATCAAAGGCCTTTGAATGGTCAAGAAACGCTAGGAAAGCAATTTGAAGCAATTTCGTAACAATACTAAAGGTTATTTCCACCCACGGTGCAGCGAACAAAGGTGGCGCCGTCAGTGGTACCGCTACTTTGGTTTTGCCGATTTTGACAGTTGTGGTAACTTGTAAATAAACCTTTGTTTACAAATCAGCGAAAGAGAAATTTGAATTATAAGTGAAAAATCAGTTTAAATTGTGTGAATTTGCAATTTTGAGTTGAAGACTGCGTAAAAACTAATACAATTAAGTGCTGTGTGTTAAATTGCGACAGGCGTCAAGATGCAAGAAGCGTAGATGCAAGTGTAGCGCTGGGACGAATCGGTGCATTTTGTGTACATAGGGAACGGCAAAGCCGCTCTCAAAATGTTTCCCTATTATTATATTAACAGAATTTTCTCACAATGATTTTGTTTCTGCTCCACGCAGCCTCCATTAGCAAGTTAACTAATCAATCCCGCAGAGATGCTGCTGCGGTTTTCTGCAGCAGCCTTAATTGCAAAGCAATGGAGTGCACTAAAATGTTCACTGTTCTCTAATAGATTAGGTGAAAAATGCAATATTATCGCATTTAGCAAAATTAAAACACGTTCTTTTCGCTCTATTCTTTGTTTACTTGTGGTACACAAACGTCAACGCCCAGGACGGCGCAATCTTGTATTCCATGAACGAAAGACACAAGATCACGTAAGAACAAGAGAGTGAAAAAAGTCGATTTTTTTTAGCGGGTTCTACGCCATCTTGTTTCACTGGAAAACGATCGAAAAGTAAACAAAGCAAAGAAAACAACGAAAACCAAAATTAGCCAAAATTATTGTCAGCCACTTTAAACGCACAATTTAGATAAAATGATGCAACAAAATGCTTTAAAATGTGTTGTCATGTTGAATTAACTCGTCTTTACTTGAATAAAAGTGTAAAATAGTGGTGCTCGTGATGTAAACAAACGCTCAGCTGACGAACCCGCTTTCGCAAATTTTTTTCTCAAAACCAGTTACAAATACAACTTCGCGTTCTTACGTGATCTTGTATTTTTGGTTCATGTTGTATTCTATCATTCTTGATTTCCACCAGCTCAACCTAAAAAGGTGTTCGCACGTGTGATTTTGCGTTCAACTTTTGCTTTCAACTCACGCAGGGTTGCACGAAAAAAAGTTGAATGACTAAATTTTGGCTGACGACCAACTTTGTTGAAAGCGATAAGTTGAAAGGCCGTTTAACCAAAAGGAGAATGCAAAGTTGAACAATGCAAACGCCCTTTTAAGGAGAATATTTTGATATTTTTTTATAGTTTGATATTTTTAGCCATTAAATTTTTTTCGTGCAACCCTGCATGAGTTGAACGCAAAAGTTGCCTGAAAAATAGTTGAGAAAAATTTGGGCATAAGTGCAGAATAGCTCAGATTCTCAAATAAAAAAAAAAACATCATTGAGGTGAGTATAACGATGTATTTCTTTTTTTTTAGGAAACAGCAGTAACACAAGTTATTAAGGGTCAAAGTTCAAATTAAAAAATGTTTTAAATCAAAATTTCTTAAAAACGAATGCATGGATTTTAAAAGTTCTCGTCTTATTTGATATAAAATTTAATTCCCATTAATTGAAATACCTTTCATTTTATATGTATATCTATAATGTACACATATTTCGAGGAAACAAAGAAAATGAAATCATATCCATTTTTTAATAAAAATGTATGTTTTTCTTAAATAATACGTAATTAACTATTACCTTGTTTATACCGACACATAAAGCGCTTTGAACCAGTTTGCTGTGATTCAAAACAGAAGCATAAACCAACTTTCAATACGCTCAGAAATTCATAAGTGTATTGACTCGAATTTGTTTTCAAATCGCTTTTTTATTTCTCACATCGGTTAGAAAACAGGTATAAACACATCATTCATTTGACGCGAAGTGAAAAAAGGCTGATTTTCTTTGTAGAGTCCATTTTAAGTTTGAATTATTATTATAATAAAATAGAATTCTTGTTCGCTTCCATTTTAATCCACCGCGCAAATAAAAAATATCGAATAAAAATAATAAATTTTGTGTACTTTTGTATACGGTATCAGCGAGTGCGCTATAAAGACCGAGGTAAAAATGCTTGAAAGAAATGTGTGTTGACTCAAATCAGTTTTTTGTAAGTGCGGTTCTTGCCTAGGTATAAACAAAATATATATATAAATATAGATTTTTTACAAATTTTATTTTATTTTTTAAATACTGCTTTGTTCTTATATTCATATCTCATAAATGATTACGTATTTCTTTAAGAAGGATACATTTTTATTTAAAAAAGGACATAATTCAGTTTTTCTTGAAATATGTATATATTAGTAGATATATAGATATACATACTAAATGAAAGGTATTTCAATTATCTTTCCAACCACATCCACGATTTTAATCGCTTCAAAAATTTCCGAAAAATAAGCTTTTGAAAATATTGAAAATTCGAATTTTACCACCCCTTGCACCGCCACTTTTAATTTGCAACAAAACAAAATTCATACCATCAAAATCAAGAATAATAGGCGCGGCACGCCCACTGTTTCTTTTTTTCTAGCTCATTGGGCCCTATTTTTTATAGTTTTACCAAAACAAATAATATTTTCACTGACATTTTCCTGAATATTTTCTTTTTGTGCCATAGAAATCATGATAAAATATAGTAAGGTAAAACCGTTCTCTCAATTCGTCGGCCATGATTTTTTTTGAAGTTTGCCAACGTTTTAAAATCACATAAAATTGAGAGTAAAAAAAGGAATTGTTCAAAGTTTTTGTTGTTTGAGATTGAAAATGAGAATGTGTGTGTGAGTTTGTGTGTAAAATTTTAAAATTAAATTGCTTGCAAACACCAAGAATTTGAAAAATTTCTCTCAGCGGTTCTACCTTCCTATTTTTTTATCATGATAGAAATGATAAAAATTAGCTATAACTTCTAAAAAAATCATTGTTCGCTTAATCGCGCGCCCTTTTATATTTCACAGTACAATTTAGGTTGACAATTTCCAATGATTTAGGACTTTTCTCTATTTAGGTAGTAATTTAGACGTACACGCACACAGCCTTAATGCAGAAACTGAGTTGCATTGAATTGCATTTAGGTGACGAATTTTGTATATTTTTGTTATATTTTTATTCAAGTTCCTGTGAAATCTATACGTTTATTTGCCAAAAGTTGTTCAACGGCTCAGCGCCAGTGAGTCATTCGCAATCGGATGCTGCGAATGCCGATTTTTACTAAAGCCAGCCTTTCGACATAAACTACTTTTTCATGTGCATACATATGTATGTGTATGAATGTGAGGTTTGTAATATTTTAGTTATTGCTTGATTGATAATAATAAAAGGAAAGGCATGAAACCAAATAGCATTTTTTTAAGTTTTTTTCTAACTTGATACTTTATTACTATTATTAAAACTCTATTCTAGTATATCAGTTGTACATTTGGCCCAATATTATGACAATGCAGCAAAAGTTTTATTTTTTTACATTTCTAGGACAAAACTTATACAAATCCAATAATTTAAAATATTGATACCGTTCTGAAAACACCAAGTTCTTAAAAAATCGCGATAAAACGACTTACTAAATTTAAGTATTTTAGATAATATTTTCCAAAGAATAGTAGTATAAAAATTATGATCGGCAGCAATGAAAATAAGCATGCCGATCTTGTCAAAATTAAAACAAACACGTCGCTACTGACAACATCTTGTTATTATTCCACTATGGTTTTACCTAGCTTGGCATTTATGTGGGGTTTCAAACGTTTCATTTATGAGAGTTGTTCGGTTTCTGTTCAACTTTATTTAAATGAATTGCATTTGTTTGTTTGTTTACATTTTGCACAGAACAGCTGATTATTTTTTGGCAAGATTGATAAAACAACCTATTTATCAATATTGGTTGTTTGGTTGCATATTTCATATGTATATAGCCAATATTGTCTATTTAAATGCAGATTAAATGTATGATTTGAAAAAGAAATGCTGAAGTTAATCAAAAATCTCTACTTAAATAAGCCATCTGAAATTGGGCATTAAGCTGTCATTTTACGAGGCTGTTAGGGGAACGCCTCCTTTTGCAGATGTGTAAATAGGTGCGTAAAGTACTGTTTGACAGCTTAACTTGGGTTTACTTTATTAATTTAGGCTGTGTGCCAATCGGTAACATTTTTCTCCTTGGTTAGACGGGGTAAAAACTTTTACTGTGGTGAATTTCGCTGTGCCAAATGCAAAGTAAAATTTTGACAGTTCAAAAAAAAACCAAATTTTACTACTTGCAAATTTTATATGCTGTCAAAATTTTATCTAGCCCCATGAGCTAGGTAAAATTCTGACGTTCGTTTTCCCAAGATAAATGTCAAATTTTTAGTTTTTTCTGTAAAAATTTCCCATTTTCTATCAATTGGCATAGGTCCTTAATATTTTTGTTCTCGTTGGTCCGGTATTAACAATTTTAAATAAAAGTCTTTAATTACTGTTACTTCACGAGCTCGCCTTTTATTCGAACAACTTTTTTCAGTAGTAATTAATTTTATTCTTTTTTCGAAGATGACTTTATACTACTTTAAAAACATTTGCTTCTTTTGGCGTATGCACGTTATTGGCTTTGTAGTAGTGGTATTCATCTAAACCGTTAACTTTATCAAGCAGGTAAGCTTATAAGTTTACGCATTCTGTTAAATGAACGAGCCACACTCTCTTTTCGTTTACACATGCGACACTAGTCGTGTTTTCTTTGGTTATAGAGCTCAGTATCACTAACTTTATACTAGTAGCCCGAGGATAAAGAAATTATAGAAACTAACTCACTA